AAATTATTATATTGAGACTTTATGTTTACAAAATTATATTTTTTTTGAAAGTTTTGATATAGAAATTAGTCAAAATTCAAAGCTCATTAAGTTCATAAATATAAAACAATTTACATTAATATCTTTTTGTTAAATCAACGATGATTCAGTTTAAAAAAATATATATATGTATTTTTGCAAAACATTTTTTTAAGATGTACACGACATTATTTTGTAAAAGAAAACATCGTTTTTTCCACCATATTGTAAATGAGCTTTATAGCGAAGTACTTGAAATACAGCTAATTTCTAACGCTAATACGCAATAAATATGATAATTTTAAACAAAAAAACAATTGACATTTATTAATAATGTTGAGGAAATTATTCATATTTGGCTGGAAAGTGAACTTAAATGACTTTAAACCAGTTCAATTTATATGATACACTTATTTTCCTAAAATTAAACACAAAACTTAAGTGCGGCAAATTGGTAAAAATGTCCAATGGGTAAAAAAAAAAAAAAAGAAGCAGTTTTTGATTGAATATTATAGTGTGTCTGGTTTAACTTGTCTGTAGTGAATCAGCTTTAATCTCCAGAGTTTGGTCGAAAGGTTATTGGTTTTATTAGAAAGAAAACATTAGGCAGTTCATACATTTTAATGTACAGGTGTAAAGGCTACATATGAGTACACATAATAATCAAAGACATGTATGTACAACAAACCTTTGCCACGATGTTTGTGTATAAATATTCAGAGTTCACTGATTAACACTTGAGTTGTAGAAATGATTCAAACAACAACAACAAAGTCTGAATGATGAAAGCTGTAATGACTCGTCAGTGTCCTGCACTGAAACACTATCATCGGGTGAACACCACAGTCGGAACGGAGCCTTCACATGTCAAGTGCTGCGACCAGGGACGCAGCGGTTCTCAACCTGCGGGACCCGACCCACAAAGAGGCCGGAACATAAATTTATCAGATCTGTCAGAGCTTTTCACAGCCAAGTCGCCAAAAGAAAATGTATGCTTGTATGTTTCTGCAACCTGCCACCCTGCAATGTTTGAGACCAACAGACAAAACCATTTGTGATATAGCGAGTGATTCCAATGGCTTTTTTAGGCACCAAGCATGGGTGTTTTTTAGGGGCCCATTGCTGTAGTTTCCAACAGGGATTGTGCCCCCAAAACTGTCTATTTTGTGTGGGAAGGATTTTTTTTAAAAGCCCGAACATAACCTTTTCCTAACCATGTGGTTTTTGTACCTAAACATAACCACATGTTAACCACAGTGCTGCTGCAGTGTAAAGAAACATAAAGTTTGAACGCCTCTGCTACATGATAACATACAAATGTAACGTATCCGTGGATTACAGAAACATATAATGCCAACATTTTTCCTTGCAGTTAGTTGCCTTTAATTCTGCAGCAGTGGCAGAAGAAGTACTCAGATCATTTACTTCAGTGAAATTTCCAAAACAAGTGTTAAAATCCTCCATCACAAGTCAAAGTCCTGTGCTTATAGTATCAAAAGTACAAACACTTTCTCTGCAGTAAAATGTCCGCTGTGACTGATGTATGATGTTTTATTATATATTCTGTTATTAGTTTGTTAATACTGATCAATAAGTGTCAGTGCAGCATGTTACTGTTGCAGCTGCTCCAGGTGGAGTGAGTTTTAACTACTTTATATACAGTTAGCTGGTGTAGTCTTAGTGGTTTCCTAACCTAGAGGTCAGGACCCTCCAAAGAGTCACCAGATAAATCTGACTAATGGGAGAGGACGGAAGAAATCTGGGGTCTCATTTATGAACATTACGTACGCACAAAGAGGCATACACCAAGTTGTGATCTATAAAAACAGACTTGACGGGAGAAACTTTGACTCATGCTGACGAATATTCTGGAGACGGGAAATTGGCGACGCAGATGGTGAGGTAGAAGCCTGAGTGTAGAACTTCTCCTATGCACTGTTTTATAAATGAGACCCCAGATCTTTCATGGAAAATATTAGATGATTTGACCTCTTTAAGCTTCGAAGTTATGTGGATAAATCAAGGGAGACATTTAGAGCAGAAATGTTTCTCTGGTGGAAACACTAACGACTCATAGACACCTAAGAAAACCAGACACAGAGGTCACAAGACAAAAAGGTTTGAAGCTGTGTCCCAAATCCAGAATACACGCTGCTTCTAAACAAGCAAGTGATCTGTGATAAGAATGTATTTAGTCTCTCTGACACTAAACTTCACCATCAGCCACACAAACGTGTTCTGTTGACAGAATAAAGCTCAAATCAAAATATATCCAATTTGACAAAAATGAAAAGTTTATATGAAAGGTCACATTTAAACCTATCTGCCTGAGAGCCAGGCGTCTCCCATCATGCCCTGGGTCTTGCAGTCAGTGGAGAGCAACTGCAGTATCTGGCTTTAAAAGCTGTGACTGTGAGGTTATTGTTGCCCATGTATGTGTGTCATTAGAGCAGGTTGAGATGAAGTCAGACACAATCTAACCAGCGTCAGTGTGCGGCAATCGACGGTGATCAGGTCTGGCTTATATTGAATTAGTGTAGTAGTTCACATGAGTAAAAGAGACAAATCAAATCAGATAGCATGCACACTAAATGTGGTCACATTCTTAGGTGTGCTGTTTCTGCATACTCTCCTATGTCTCCCACAGCGCAGTGCTCAAAGGAGGAGGAGCTGCTCACAGCTGGAAAACATTAAAGTAAATTACAGGTGGTGACACAGCTCCAGAGAGATTTGAGAAAACAAGAGGTGAGTATTCAGTCTCAGTGAAAACATGTTGATGTTTCAAAGTCGCCGTTTAATTGACGCACATTGAACATGTATGATTTTATACCTGCTGGTCAGTACACTAACTGCAACAACAGCGTGCTGTGATGATTAATTTGTACTTGAGAAAGATTTGATCTTAGACAACAGGGTTGATCGGGATGAGCTCGGCGATCAGATTTGTGTCTGATTTGATCCTGACTTGCTCTGATGTCATGCACAAGTGGACATCAATAACCTCACTAGATTGAGAAGGCAGCAGTTTTTAGAGCCAGGTGCAACAGCTGCTCTCACTGACTGCCAGACCTAGGGCATGATGGGAAACACCTGGATGTTGCCTGATCAAGGAGCTGATTGGCTCTTAATGTCGACCGCAAATGTCACATTTTATAGGAAGTCATATTTTCTGAGGAGTTGTAATATTTAATGCTGATTGTAGGCCATTAGTCTCATGTTGTGCAATGAAAGTTTAATCTGTTAACAATTTTTTGTGTGGATGTTAGTAATAAAAGGTGGTTTACAAACCAAACTACTCATATCCTACAGATGAATCTAACAGGATGTAATTATTTCCTGTAGCTGATTTGACTGCAGCTTTCTGTCATTGCCTGTGCAGCTGCCAGCTGATCTTGTCCACCTTCCTGGCGAGGCACAGATCATCTCAAATGAGCCTGGTGTGTTATATTTGATAAGCTATTTGATTTTGTGCTTTTTTTATATAAAAAGTTAAATCTTAAAGTAATTATTAACCACAGCTGTAGAATAAATGTAGTGGAGTAAAAGAAAATATATGTCTCTGAAATGTAGCAGAGTGGAAGTATAAAGTAGAATAAATGGGGAAAAAGTCAAATACAAGAACCTCATATTTGTACTTGGGTAAATGTATTTTCCACCACTGCCATCCAACTTCCTATTAAAACTTTGTTTTGAAAAATCTTGTCAAAGTCAAAGTCTCTGGAGGTTGAGAACCGCTGCTCCACGCAGCAGCTGCTGTCCCTGAATGTGTCACACTGACCCACCTGAATAGAGCACCATGTTATGTTACAGATAAGCAATGACTTCATCAAGCATGAGGGAGACACACAATCTGAGGAACACCCACTTCTCCTGCAGGGTGACGGAGCTGCGCTCTAGATGGCGCCCTGCAGCTATTTTACCGCCACAGACGCCCTGCAGACTGCAGACTGCTGAGTGATCACCAACAACTCAGAGCTTCACACCATCATGTTAGAAGAGTGACATCAGAACACGACATTAACTGATGTTACCACCTTTTTCTCCTCTGTATGAGCATCTGATTTTTTTATGGCTCCATGATAGTTTTGTCGGGGAAGAAAAAGGAGGTAACATCACGTCTTAAAGCCACATGAGGAAAGATTAAATGCAAAAACAAACTTGTGTATTTGCTCAGTTTGCCTGCATATGACAAATAAATACAAAACTTTCTCTTAAAGACTTTAAATGCACTGACATCACTAATAACTGTTAGAGTGAGAACATTATCCAACTTTATGTTTAGAAGAAACAAGATGAGGCTCCTCCTTCACCGTAACTGCACTGCCCAGTCGGCAGACATAAATGTCGGCACTGTACGTTTCTGCAAACCACAGATATGTTTAATTTGTACGTTCTCATACTTTTTGTGCCTAAACCTGATCACAGCACTGTCACAACATAAAATTGAAACTTCAAATGTAAAGAAACATAAAGTCTCAACATGCCTGCTACATATGAAGCATACAAACAACATATCCATGGTTTGCAGAAATGTACAATGTCAACATTTATTCTGGCGACTGGACAGCATACCTGTCAGATCCTAATTCAAACATTGCTCTAAGCCTTCATTAATGTAACGCGCTGCAATTAAACTTTTACATTCTGCTTCTTTGTGTCTGTCTGAGAGGACAATGAGTCAGTGAATGATTATGTAACATGCACGTGATGGAAAAGAACAAAGCCAAACCAAGGTAATTTTTTAAATAAAAGTTGAGGAGGATTTGTGGGAAGTGTTGATGGTTCACCTTTGAGGGAGGAAATTTGAACCATGGAAGTGGAGTTGCAGGGAGGATGAGTAGGTTTATACGGTAATTTGTTTGTTTCCAATGATTTGTATGTTTGCATGTAGTGTTTGTTGTGTCCATCAAGGACCTCTTTGTTCTATCCTCTGTTTTTGAGTCATGATACTCCTGTGAGTCGCTGTGTTTTTAAATTCCTAATGAAAATCAAACAAGTTAAATCAAACATCTTTTTTTCCAAAAAGGTACATTTTGTAAGTTCAAAGCCTGCAAGTAGGCAACGTCTGGGACGACTTCTTCTTCCACATTGTCGTAGAAAAAGTTAAAATTTTGCCTTCATTGCTTTTGATTGGCCGACTCAGACAAAGTGCCTGAAAGTATCACAGCACAATTATTTGCCTGTTAAAAAGCGTGGGGACTTGGTAGCTAAATACACTGCCTGGCCAAAAAAAAAGTCGCCACCTGGATTTAACTAAGCAAATAGGTACGAGCCTCCTATTGGATAATTACTGCATGGGCGATTATCTTTCAGCTGGCAACAAGTTATTTAACCCCAACTGGTGCAATGAGTTGCTTCTCATTTCCTAAACAACCATGTCGAAAGACACATCCTGTGGTCGTGGAAAAGATGTTAGTCTGTTTGAGAAGGGTCAAATCATTGGCATGCATCAAGCAGAGAAAACATCTAAGGAGATTGCAGAAACTACTAAAATTGAGTTAAGAACTGTCCAACGCATTATTAAAAACTGGAAGGATAGTGGGGACCCATCGTCTTCGAGGAAGAAATGTGGCCGGAAAAAAATCCTCAATGATCGTGATCGGCGATCACTTAAACGTTTGGTGAGATCAAATCGAAGAAAAACAACAGTAGAACTCAGGGCTATGTTTAATAGTGAAAGTAAGAGCATTTCCACACGCACAATGCGAAGGGAACTCAAGGGATTGGGACTGAACAGCTGTGTAGCCTTAAGAAAACCACTAATCAGTGAGGCTAACCGGAAAAAAAGGCTTCAATTTGCTAGGGAGCATAAAGATTGGACTCTGGAGCAATGGAAGAAGGTCATGTGGTCTGATGAGTCCAGATTTACCCTGTTCCAGAGTGATGGGCGCATCAGGGTAAGAAGAGAGGCAGATGAAGTGATGCACCCATCATGCCTAGTGCCTACTGTACAAGCCTGTGGGGGCAGTGTTATGATCTGGGGTTGCTGCAGTTGGTCAGGTCTAGGTTCAGCAACAGTATGTGCTCAAAGAATGAGGTCAGCTGACTACCTGAATATACTGAATGACCAGGTTATTCCATCAATGGATTTTTTCTTCCCTGATGGCACGGGCATATTCCAAGATGACAATGCCAGGATTCATCGGGCTCAAATTGTGAAAGACTGGTTCAGGGAGCATGAGACATCATTTTCACACATGGATTGGCCACCACAGAGTCCAGACCTTAACCCCATTGAGAATCTTTGGGATGTGCTGGAGAAGGCTTTGCGCAGCGGTCAGACTCTACCATCATCAATGCAAGATCTTGGTGAAAAATTAATGCAACACTGGATGGAAATAAATCTTGTGACATTGCAGAAGCTTATCGAAACAATGCCACAGCGAATGCGTGCCGTAATCAAAGCTAAAGGCGGTCCAACGAAATATTTGAGTGTATGACCTTTTTTTTTGGTGGTGACTTTTTTTTTGGCCAGGCAGTGTATGATACAAAGAGGAAAGCTGTATTGTTGGTTGCTTTTTATTTGGTGCAGCAAATTTAAATGAAACTGAATGCTAATATGATAACTTTCCATTCTAGTAAAAGCCAGCGCTGTCGAGGCAGTCTGCTAATGGTCAGCTGCACAAATTTGTGTGCAGTTCAGTACGTTTCCACCCACCTGTTTTTATGTGCATTTTTAGTTTGAGCATTAAAAGCCTGAGTGGAAGCACCAGAACAAAAAACCTTTCACACCTTTGCACAGGTTTCAAGGTGGACATCTAAGATTAGTGTCACCAGTTGAGTATCTGACTAATCGTCTCCCCTTCTGTTCCTGAGATATGACGCTGAATAATGGCCAGAGAGGCGTTTTTGCAGAACATGATGTCATAGAACATAATGATGTCATAGTGACCTTCGACCACCAAATTATAATCAGTTCATCACTGAGTCCAAGTGATTGTTTGTGCCAAATTTGGAGAAACTCCCTCTAGGTGTTCTTGAGCTATCACGCTCACGAGAATGAGACAGACAAAGTCAAAGTGACCTTAACCTTTGACCTTCAGCCTTTCTGAATTATGGCCAAAAACATGTCTTGTGAGGTCGCAGTGACCTTTGACCACCAAACTCTTATCAGTTCATCTTTGAGTCTAGTTGAACGTTTGTGCCAAATTTGAAGATACTCCCTCAAGATTCTCTTGAGATATCATGTGCACAAGAATGAGACAGACAAGGTCACAGTGACCTTGAACTTTGACCTATGACTGCCAAAATCTTATCAGTTCAACATTGAGTCCAGTGAACGTTTGTGCCAAATTTGAAGACATGCCTTCAAGGAGTTCTTGAGATATTGCGTTCATGAGAATGGGACGGTCGGACAATCTGAAAACACAATGCCTCTGGCCATGGCCGTCGCCGTCGTGGAGGCATAGTGAAATAAAAACCAAAACAAACGTGCAAAACAGAAACAGTTTTCACGTTTGGCTGAGGTGGAACAGCTAGCGTATCCTTATAAACAAAATGTGATGAAGTGCAACAGAAAAAGACGTATATGAATCGTGACCTAAACTCAGATTAGTGTGGAGCAAAGAGGAGACTGTAATCGTCCTTGTATTAATACACGCAGCACACAAATGCAACATTTCCATCATGTTTTGACACGTTTGTGTTAAAGTTTGTGCTACATTTGGATGGAAACTTGACTGTTTGTGACGCCACCTAGCATGCTGCCTGAGAGACTTAATTCAGGACATGAAACTGATTTGAAAGCTGAGCAGGACACAGTCAAAGTTACTGTGTCACATAAACTCTACTCAGTGCTGCAGAACTCTGTATAATAAAAGAGTGACTTTAAAGTGATGCGACCTTTGTTTATACGCTCTGACTCATGGTCAGTGTGAGTCAGACTGGCAGGAAAATCAACTGCACGTGTGATCACCTCCTTAAACTTTTGTTTACCGACATCATGGCGAATGATTTATAGGTTTAAAGTTTCAGCATCAAAACAAAAGTGAACTCCCCCTGCAGCTAATGCACAAATCTGTCTCCTGCAGCGTTAGGTTTGATGTCACTCTTCAAACATTTACGGATCACAGAGTCCAACCATGATGACAAAACAACAACAGCTGAAATGGAAAACATCCTCCACAGTCTGTACTGGTTCTGTTTGTGAACCAGAATCAGTCCAAATTCTCAGTTTGAGGCTCAAAGACAGGAAGTGAGGACAGTGCAGCGTGGCACGTCATTAATACAGGGCCCAGATCTCAGCGTTATGGTGACAAAATGTGCAAAATAAATACGAGTATAGCTGCACAGGAGGTGCCAAGTCTGAGGAAACATTACTTGGTTTTCCTGAGAAGAAGGTGTAACTCAATAAATGGAGTAAAGCATAAACAGATTTAAAGGAGATCGACTCATCCTCTTCAATCCACAGGATGAACACATGAATGTCTCTGCTCCAAAAACTCCTCTTCATAGTCATAAAAAAAACAAGAAGTGTTAATTTGACTCTCCACAGTTAGAGACTCACACGTTTTTACAGCCGAAAAAATCCATGCCGACGTAGCGAGGGTAGCCTTCCAACGAGTTCATACCAACGGGATCGAACTTCCAGTACTGTCGTCCTCGGATAAAGTGAGCGTAGCCTGAAAGACAGAGAACACAATGGTTTTACAAAATAATTTGGAATGTATGTGTGCAGTCAAAACAATGCGCTTTTAATTCACAAACTTCATAAGTTAATGGATGTAGCCATGGTGACATCACCAATGGGTTTGTGGACTCCTGTTTTTAAGCCTCAAGCTTGACATTTAGCCGTCGCCATCTTGGATTCTTGGAGCCAAAAGTAACCATTTATGGACGAGAGGATGGGGATAATGATAATGCTAGTTGCTAGCATGGTTAGCACCTGTGCATTTACAGCTATGGGTAACTGTGTTAATGCTAACGCTAATGTTTGCTAGTGAAAAAACAGGCTTTAAACCATTACAACAAAAACTGTTCAAATTAAGTTTCATGAACTGAACACACAGCTACGGCTACGGCTCTACTCTGAATCTGGGGTTACGCCATGGTTACATTACCAACCAATGCTGTTGCTGTCGTAGCGACTTGTCAAAGGATGGCATCCACCTGTCCCTTAACGTGGCCAAGCATTAATTATGCATGACTTTAAACCTGGCTGTAAACATGTTTATTTCAGTGGTAAAGTTGGGCATTCTAACACGGGGGTCTATGTAGATTGACTCTGTTTTGGAGCCAGCCTCAAGTGGCCATCAGAGGAACTGCAGGTTTTGGCACTTCATGCAGTCTTCAAACACTCAACACAGGGTTGGATTAAAAAAAAAATATGAATAAACCAGTTTCACTGTGGACACATCAGTCTTGAAATCCGATTATAACCAACATACTAACCTTTAAACCCCAAACAGATAGCTAGATAACTCCTTTATGTATGCCTGTGGGGAGGTTCACAAATAGGAACTCTTTGTTCATTTTCTAGGTTTCTGTCTTTGGACCGTACCGTAGATGTCCCTGAAAGCGGCATCCACGTCGTCAGGGATGCCGCTCCAGTCCTGCATGCTGCGTGGGTAGACGGACTCGACGCGGTTCTCGCGGGGGCTGAACCTCCAGTAGCTGCCTGACTTGAAGAAGTAGGTGTTGTAGTTGGAGTTGTGGCCCCAGCGCAGCGCCGCCTGGATCCCGGACACAGACAGACCCAAACGCCTGATGGACTCCGGCCCTCTGATCTGCATCTCAGCATCGAACACCCAGTAGTTCTCACCTGCCCAGAGAGAGATGGTCAAGAATGGATGACATGCAACTCTTGGTAAATTTCATTTCAAGATCCATTCAGCCATGCTCTCAGTCAGAAAGTCTAGACTCTTCCCCAGAAAACTTCCCTCAGGAAACAAGCAGAGTGTACTGTGTTAGACCTTCGTGAGACAGGTTAGTTTTACCCTGCTGATGATGTGTTGTTGCAATAGTAATCTCAGTATGAGAGGAACCACAGGTTCAGACATCTGGTGTATGTGCTTGGCTGAGGAGCCAATGGTGCGAAGCTGCCATCTGTGTGATTATGACTGAATGTCTCTAAGTCAGAATCCCGCCTTGACGTAACGATACCATAGCGTCACAGATCTTCGGTTGGCCCCAGATAACCGGCCTCGGTCGGTGAGTAGAGCCGCCGGGCTGCAGTGAGGCTGGACGATGGTCGCCCCTCTTCTATCTCGCACCACATGTTTATGGAGAACCTGGTGCTAAATCACTTGCAGACGACCTGATTTTTTGTGGGCAGCTGTGGCTCCTCCAGTCTGCAGGTCCAAGTATCCTTGGGCAAGATACTGAACCCAAAAATTGCTGCCCAAAATCAGTGTGTGTGTGAATAGTTATACTGAGTAGCAAGTGGCACCATGTATGGTAGCCTTGGCCACCATGCGTGTGAGTGTGTTTGAAAAGGTGAATGTGACATGCAGTGTGAAAGCGCTCTGAGTGGTCAGAAGACTAGAAAAGCGCTATACAGGTGCAGTCCATTCAGTGTGCGTGTGTTGTTAACCTGCCCGTGCAGGCACAGCTTACTGTGCGCCCTTTAAATAAAATGAAAATACTGCACCATTCTGACAGGTTTTTGTTGGTCAATGGTGCAATCGCTCTCTCTGCTGCCTCAAAATAGCAACACACCAACAATGTACCTGACCACACCTATTCGTTTTCCGTAACCACTTATCCTGTTAGGGGTCACAGGGGGCTGGAGCCTATCCCAGCTGACATTGGGTGAGAGGCAGGGTTCACCCTGGACAGGTCACCAGACTATCACTGGGCTGACACATAGAGACAGACAACCATTCACACTCACATTCACACCTACGGACAATTTAGAGTCACCAGTTAATCTGCATGTCTTTGGACTGTGGGAGGAAGCTGGAGCACCTGGATAAACCCACGCTGACACAGGGAGAACATGCAGACTCTGCAGAGAGGGGCTCCCCCACCCCAGGGTCAAACCCCCCACCCTTGGTTCGAACCCTCTTGCTGTGAGGCAACAAGGCTAACCACTGCACCACAGTGCATGAGAGAAAATTGTTCAAGTATTTTCACAGAATTATCTTCTTAGTAAAACACCTTATTGACTTCTGTTGTGTTCTGGCTTATTGGTTGGATTTTGTGTTGCCATCTGGGTGCACACATGGGCGTAAGTACATACACTGCATGGGCACTGGCAGTGTCGGTTGCACTGCACTGTGCGCCACTTTGCACTGGGAGTAAGTTGGGGCCCTATCAGCAATTTCCTCATGATTACAATTAAAAAATGCCATCCAACTTGTTTTCTCTTATGTCTTCTTTCAGAACGATCAGTTGGAGCTAAGGTGAGGCTCAGTGGAGATGAAACCCAACCAAGAGTCGGAGTTTGAAGCAAGACAGCCATCTGTGTTTCCTGATGTTTCTGAGAGAGCTAAGAGCCTCAGCTACAGGTAATGCTAATGGTTTATCACATCAAGAGAATGTACCTGGTGAGGTAAAAAAAATATTAAACTGACTCGAAACAATTACAAAAAGCTTTTTCCCCCCTCAGTAAGGACAGAAATATGCAACTCACATCTGGCTGAAACAGAACTATTGCACATACTACCTTCACCACATCTAACAGAGACACCTACAGAAAGACTTAATGGCAATAATTTTATAGCTCTGTGTTAATTAACATTTTACACCTGTTTAAACTTGCCTAGGAGAGTATGGTGATACTTTACATCTGCAGATGATCCTGAAACCATAAACCACATAATAGCACTGCTCAAACGTTCCTCGCTGCCCACCTTGAAAGAACCAAATATTCCCTGACTTGTCTTCAAAGGCGGCGTCGATGTTGTCGGGAATCCCCCTCCAGTGACGGGACGCCAGCGCTGGGTAACCGCTCTCCAGATGCCCGTCCCTGATCCGCCATACGTAGCCTGACTTAAAGAAGAACAGCTCCCCTCGGATCATAGACACGGCATCAAAGTCCGTCTGGCAGGCGTCGGGCTGGAAGTGAGACAGAGCGTAAAGTTTCTAACAAGAAGGGTTTTTATTGCAGTGGGATGAAGTGTTAAGAACCCGTTTTATTGTCTGATCCCAAAATAAAGTAGAGGTCCAGTGAAACAGCTCTCAGTTACAACTTTTACAAGAGAAATTTATCTGAGAAGGGACCTTTTCCAAGTGCTCGAGACTAAAAAATGACTCTGACCCTCATTTATCATCTGAGGTTCAGAAATACACTCTTGTGTGATGTGGTGCAGAGATATTCACTCTATTTGAGTTTGTTGTAACCACAGAAACCACTAACGTTTAAGGGATAAGGCTGATGGTATTTCATATTTTTCTTCTTGTCAACAAATCCCGTAAACTTGAACAGTATTCCCTGTGGATGTCCTCTTCCTCTTGTGCTCCATTGTTTTCCAAAAACAATTAAAAACACATCAATGAGACACACTGTGTCACTGGATGACATGATCCCTCATTACCATGCACGCACACTGTAGTTTATGTTTACTTAATCCCACACACCCCATCCTGCTGCTGCAAATACTCACTAGAGCACCAAATGTGGATTAATCCGCCACTGAAAATAGTCCCCAACAATGCAACAAATGTCCTCGTGTTTGTGTAACATTTGAGACATTTTTTATGTCTTCAGTAGGAACCAATAGATTTGTTGCTCAGAACCACAGAGTTGGGGAGTCAGCATGTATTAAGAAACAACCTGAAGGCCTTTTCACACCTAGTCTGTTCTTTTGTGTCCATCCATCCATTTTATCCATTTTATCCATTTATCCGAGGCTGGGTCGTGGGGGTTGAAGGCTGAGCAAAGCACCCCAGACGTCCCTCTCCCCAGCAACGCTTTCCAGCTCCTCCTGGGGGACCCCAAGGCGTTCCCAGGCCAGATGAGATACATAATCCCTCCAGTGTGTTCTGGGTCTGCCCCGGGGCCTCCTACCAGCGGGACGTGCCTGGAACACCTCTAACAAGAGGCGGCCATATCAGATGCCCAAACCACCTCAACTGACCCCTTCTGATGCAAAGGAGCTCTACTCCAAGCTCTCTCTGGATGTCTGGGCTCCTCACCCTATCTCTAAGGTTGAGCCCAGTCACCCCACAGAGGAAACTCATTTTGTCTTCTTGTATCTGCGATCTCATTCTTTCTGTCACTACACAGAGCTCATGACCATAGGTGAGGGCCTGAACAAAGATACACCAGTAAATCAGGGGTCTGCAGTGCCTACATCACTGCAGACGCCACACCAAACCACCGTTCCATCTCCTGCTCCATTTTACCCTCACTAGTGAACAAAACCCAGAGATACTTGAACTCCTTTGCTTGGTGCAGTAACTCTCCTCCAACCTGGAGGGAGCAATCCACCGTTTATTGGCAGAGGACAGGCAGGAGGTGCTGACTCTCATCCTGACCGCTTTACACTCTGCTGCAAACCACCCCAGTGCATGCTGGAGGTCACGGTGTGATGAAGCAATCATGGTCATCTCCAGCGTGCACCGGAGTGTTTTTTTTTGTGTCGGTTTTTAAATCCATCATGTGATAAAAATGGTTACACACAAAAACCTTGCACACTGAGTCCAATTCATTTCATTCTTCTATTCTTTGCAAACATCCACAATACACGACAAAATGTAAAGACACATTTGCTCCCTTGCTTCTCTCCACTGGAGTTACCTCCCTGGCTGTCGCCACTCTCTGCCCGCATCTCATTTGGCATTGTGGTCACCTGAAGGTGCTGACCTGTCCCCTGTCTCTGTCTCCACACTGTCACTTTCTCTTTCTCTGTCTGTGTTATGTCTTCGTCCTCTGTTACATCCTCCCCCTCGTCATCATCCACCACCTGACTGTTACTGTGTGACCTGTTAGTGGGTGAGGAAATGACACTGTGCTCCCTGGTCGTCTCTCTTGTTGAGGATGTAGCCCGCTGCCGCATTTTCTTCAGAGTCAGTGTGCAAACGTGATGGACACAACGTGAGGTCGGATTTATTTTTAACCATGTGGCAATTCTGGAAGAAAAACACAGACTTGGTGCTTGGTGTTTTATGTGGAGTCAGTGCCACACTCAGAGGAGCAAGGCACTTAATTTGTCCTTTGGGATTTCTTAAAGTGTGTTCAATAATGTTCTAAGAATCTTTTGTGGTTTGTACTGTAAGAGCAAAAGTATGAACAAGTGAGCTCAACTCTATCAATAAAAGAACAAAGTTTAATTGATAAAAGCTGCTTGATAGAGAGAAATATAGAACATTTTCTAAATCAGGCTAATGCAATTGTTCGGGTTTGACCTATACATGGATTAATCTGCAGCTGAAAATAGTCCCTAATAAATAATAATAATAATATTAATAATAATACATTTTATTTCTTAGCCACATAGAAATAAATATACAAGATGCACCACTTTTAAAACACAAACTTAAAGGGAGACTTCACCTATTCTTAAATTCATACATGTTACACCTATGGTCTAAGACAGAAAAATATCAGTAAACATGGACAACTCTCTCAGATCCAAAAACTACAGCGCTAAAGCTCAAATCTGTGATGTCATAGGGTATAAAGTGTGGAGGTGCTCCAACTGTTTCACAACTGAGAACACTACAATAGAATAAAGCTCATTTGGGTATCAAATCAAACCATCGGTGGGTCCACAAAATCAAGCTCCCATCTAAAGAGCAGCTCCAGACTTTACACGCTATGACAGGGGTTTCTAAATTTTTCTGATTTGGGGCCAGATTAGATAATGTGAAAATACCTTTGGGCCAACTGCTCCTCACATCAAACGGGAAAAAGTATTCTACTTGGCACCATTTCTAAAAGCAGTGGCCCTCACTGTCGACTTAACGCTTCTTTGCAGTGGCCACACATAATATCTTAAAAGACAAGCCACGGGCTGTTTAAAATCATTCTGCAGGCTACGATTGGCCCCAGGTGTGGACTTTGGACATGCCTGCCCTATGACATTTCAGGTTTGAAGCCCTTTTTAAACAGGAATTGTGCAAATTTGCAGGCCCAATCAGTCTTTACAGTGTCTGTCAGGTTTGTGTTTCCCTCTTGCTACTAGCTGCTCGCTAATTCCTGCTATCAGCTGTTTCCTGTTTATCCAGCGCCAGTGGGTCGCACGTGCAGCGTCATCAACAGCTCCTCCCACAAGTCATCAACAGCTCCTCCCATTGCGGAAGGCCGCCTCGGTCTGTTTAAACTAAAAAGGTTCCGCCAATATGTCTACCCTACGAGGCGGAAATTTGGGCACCTCGGATCAACTCGCCAATCCGGCTCTGTGTGTCTAAACGCTCGCAGCTTGCCGGCAAAACGGCCCAACATTGGCGGAAAATCTGGCAGTGTAAAAGGGGCTTGAGACTTCCTTCTCTGGTTTCTGGCTTTGAGAGAGAGTAGCTCATTGTGCTAACTTTCCAAGGCCATGAAAATAACATACTGGAGGTCTTAATTTAGGTGATGTTCAACCTGAAAAGTGATCGAGTATTAATCCGCGACTGAAAATAGTCCCAGACAAATGCACCGTTTCCTCCTGTTTGTTTGATAAAACTACAGTTACCAGCTGTTTTGGAAATTACTGAGACTTTAAAAAAAAAAAATCAAACTATATTTTTTTAAGGTGTTTTTTAAGATTCATGTCTTCAGTAGGAACCAATGGGCTTGGAGCCGCAGACAGGAAGTCAGAAAGTAATGGGATTTGTTGACAATAAGAAAAATCTGTGCCTTCTTTTCTCTTTGACATCACCAGTTATTTTTTTTTGAGTGTGTAACTCCACGCTCGGTTCATAACTGTTGCATCAGCTCCACTCACATTAGTGATGATCTCGTTGGTCTCTGGGTTGGCTGGAGGTGGAGGCGGGGGCGGCGGTGAGGGCAGGACTTGCGGATGAGCTCCATACAGATACTGGATGCCTCGCTTGTCATCCTCGCTCAGCCTCAGCGGGTAGGAGAAGGAGTAGTATGCGGACATGATGGCACCCGGCTCGCGTGAGTGCTGCAGGCCCAGGACGTGCCCGAACTCATGGGCAGCAACCTGGAGAAGGTCTGTGCCTGCAGAGGGCAGGTAGAGAGAAGGCTCAGAGGCTGCAAAGAACACACCTGGTTAAAACAGTGTCATGGTGAAGATAGTTTGTTTTGATCTGCTTGTGGCAGACGGCGGGGATTTTGCTACCTGAGATGAGACGGTGCCAACAATGAGTCATGAAAAGTGCTTCCTCTGCCTGCTGACTCATAATCTGTTCATGTCCTGCTGAAGCCTTGTGTTACAGATGAGCCTGATACATTTGACTTTTCTCACCTGAACTCAACCAGTGAGATGATTTTTCCATCCCAGATGTAACAAGAAAATACTGCATTTAAAGATTGTTGATTGTTTTAGTTCAATATATTTACTGTAAGTAATACACCAACTGATCCTAAAGCCCAAGACAAATATCCTCTAAAATTCTTCTTGTAGAATTGGTTACTGGTTTTCCTGCACTATTACTTTCTATCATTAGTGTTATTTAATTTATTTCCCACTTCTTTACTGCATGGATTGGGTGAAAGGAGAAATGATTGCTATCAGACTTTTGTGCATAATGGCTGAAAACAGCTGAAGACTGGTTATCTTATTGGTTTATTTGAATTCTTTTTGGGGACTTTAAGAAACATATCTATTTCTATCCTATCTGGATTTGGCGATCCATTTATTCTCAATACAATATACACATGCTCACCAGAACACAACTAGGACGACAGCATTGTCCATATGTAATCATTATTCCATTCAGCAAATTCAGTTCTGCATGCCAATACTTCCTGCTTTTCGACATGCTCCCGTAACACGGTCAAAAACTGTTTGCTTCCCGTTCTACACACCTGATTCCCATTACCTGCAGCTTATCTATGTGCACTTCACACGTGAATGTTCCACCCTGTGTTCAGTTAAATAACTGAATGTGTATATTTACATTTACCTTGTTTAGATTATGATAAAATAAACAAAAACTGAATTATGGCTCCAACAGTGGTAATTTAATACCACACCCTGTCTTCCTGTTAAAATTGTCTTTTTATTTAATTTTACTTTATTTTATTTTTTTCTCTTTGGTCATGGAATTTAATCTATTTTCATGATATGTCCATTGTAGAGGAAAATACATTTTTTGCAGCTGTTTTTTTTTTTTTGTGTGTGTGTGTAATAATAACAATAACAATAACAATAATAATAACTTCACTGGCACATTTCTTAATATAGTTACACAGTGCTGTAACAAAGGACATGAGGCAAAGAAATAAAATCTATACAGTAAAACCAGATAATTTACATAATATTAAAAAAAGATAAATAAAATCATATGAGTAATTTAAAGGGTAGGTTCAGTATTTTTCAACCTGGACCCTATTTTTTCATACAGGCTGCAATATAACCACTCGTTTTGCACCATTAATGTACAGCCACTTAAAGTTTTTTATTTTATTAAACTTAAAGATTATTATTCTAAGTGTCTGATAACGTTATGAAAGGATCCCTACAGAGATAGACCATTTTTTAAGATCCTTTTGTTTAACCAGAAACAGCCCTGAAATCACCATCGCCAAACTCACCAGACTCCATTTAAATAAACAGTAATTTTAGCGTGTGTGGAGGCAGCATATTTTTACATCTAACTGTGTGAATTAAGGGTAAATTTTAACCAAACCTGAGTTGATGATTGTTGGCGCAGTGAAAAGACAATCAACGATTTTTGTTAGTTTAATTTTGTTTCCATCTTCTTTGAATGAAGTGTGTTTTACAGTGATAAAATTACAATTTATTTAAACAGAGTTTGGTGATGGCCATTTCAGGGCTGTTTCTGGTTGATCAAAAATGATCTTACTCTTTAACAAAAAGGCCTATCTCTGTAGGGATCCTCTCCATAATGTTGTCAGACACTCGTAATAACAATTTGAGCCTGTCAGTTGCAGAAAAAAGCACTTTTAATGGACGTATGCTGACAGTGTGAACACGCTCTGAGTAGCTAAATTGCAGCCTGTCAGTACGGGACCAGTTTCAGAATTTTTTGTTCACATTACCTCGGCACAAAAACATGGCAAAATAGAGACCAGGTTGAAAAATAGTGATCTTACCCTTTAAAGGCAGCTTTGGACCTTGTCCTTATCTGCACAGTAGGTCAGAGTTAAAGTTTAAAGCTTTACAGATGTAGTGATTTTTTTACTGCGTGCAGATACAGAGAGACAGTGACTCTTAACATACAGTAAACACATTGTTATAATGTATGAACCTCTGTATTGTATTGTACTAAAGGCAATAAAAAGAAAAGAAAGATAGTGTGTGTGAGTTGAACTATACACAACTGTTTTCTTCCTCTCTCAGACAAACACTCACCCATGTGGTTTCCGAGGGTCCATGACTCGTCGTAGTCAAAGTGAATGTCACCCTGTCGGTGCGTTTTGGGGAAGAAGGCGTGAGCGAGAATCCCACCCGGGCCATCGAAGGGGAGGTTGTCTCCGTGCCAGTACCTGCAGGTCCGTAAATCAAACACTGATGAACTCTGAAGGTTTAAAGCATGATGAACTTAAAAACATCTTCTTTCAGCTGTACAGATTATAAAACAATGGAGTATTGCCCATCACAATTTACCCAAGTTGACAAACTGAAATTGCTCGTTTTGTGCGACCAACAGTCCAGACCCAAAGACGCTCAGTTTGTTATCACAGAAGGTGAATAAAACCAGCAAATATTCATATTTTAGAAGCTGGAATCTGAGAATTTCTTTCATTTATGCTAAAAAAAATCAAATAATTTGACTGATCTGACTAATTTTTAAAGTGTCACTCCTTCAATAAAGCCCAATATATCAATACATAATGCAGTTGGTTAAATAACTAAAGACGAATGTGAAAAGAAATCTTTACACTCACTTCATACATTTCCTTTGACCTACAATCAGCTGGTAAAAATAAAGAAAACTTTATAATTCTTCCTTAAACAATCGTTCATTAATTCTTTTTTTCCCTCACACATATTTCTGATTTCTTCCCTCCTGATAATGACATACAGTTGTGGTGTGTGTGGGCTAAGTCAGAGTTAAATGTAAAAGTTCACAACAGTAATGAGATGTATGAATCCTTACTTTCATTAAATTAAATTAATTTTGTATTATATAATCATGTAAGTCAAACCGACCGACTGTGACGAACTTTAAAGCTTGAATCATCATCTTCAAAGGACAAAAGACAAGAAATCAATGCAGGAAGAAACAAAACATTCAAATAAAACCCCCCAAAATGAAGTCATTTTAAAAACATCACAGATCCCCCATAAAACTTTTTGTATCTCAGGAGTTTGGAATCTGTGTTTACTCTTTGCTCTCTCTCAATCTGTTGTTTTTATCTTTGTGGCGCTCTGAAACTCTGTGTCACAAAGGTCTTCGTCAGAATCTGATGTGTCTGTCCTGAACTCATGAACAGATTTAAAATGTTTGACTCTGTGTTCACTGAGGTGCTCGTGTCTCTCGTAGCCAACACAGATGAGAGTTCAGAAAGTCGGCCATAAGATGTGATGTGAAACCAAAAGAGAGCTGAAATAAAGCTGATACAGTAAAAACACGAGTTCTTGAATACTGAAGTGGTACTAATTTAAAGATGGTGTCACATATACACACTGTAGATTGGACTTTGTGATGAAACTAGATGGAGGCTGGTGAGCTCTGACATCAACCAAGAATTTTAAAAAAGTCTGTAAAAAATCCAAAATTAAAATATAAAATGATAATAGTTTCTGGAAAAGACTGGGTTTTATTAATTGTCTGATTCATCAAATTTATCTGCAACTATTTTTAATTACTGACTGATTCTTTAAGTTGTTTCTCAGGCAAATATGTCAAACATTTGCTAGTTTCAGCTTTTCCATTGGGTTTTGGACTTGGACAATAGAATCAACTTGTAGTCGTCACATATTATTGATAGTTCTGGTCTTTATTCTGAACTTTCAGAGACAAAATGATGAATCAATTCATCCATAAAATAATGGGCAAATCAGCTGAAAATGAAAATGATTGTTAGTTGCAGCTCAGTGCAGAAGTCCATGGTAGAGGCAGGCAGTCCAAACAGGCATCCAAGACACTCTGACTGTGGTTAAAAATCCTTCATTGATACACGGATGAACCAGCGCGTTTGGACTAGAGAGTCTTCATCAGGGTTGATTCTCTAGTCTACTCTCTAGTCGTTTACCCACATATTAATAAAGGATTTTTGACCACAGTCAGAGTGCCTCGGATGCATTTTTGGACTGCCTGTCTGTACCATGGACTTTTACACTGACTGAGCTGCCTAGTCATTGTTTATATCTTTATGTGACTATTTGCCCCTTCCTTGAAGAGCACCTGATTCTTTACAACTAACTACACAGAGCCTGAACCCAGTGCAGCACTCCCTATTTTTCCCCAGTATGATTTTGTTTCTTTTAGACAATTAGCAGCGACAATATCTACGTCATTGTTAGCCACATTGCTGTGTCCTCTCAGGGTGTCTGTGGTCTGCTGGTTGACCCTTCAGGGCCCGTGACCACATGGAGTTTTCTTGTCAGTGCCAGCGTCTCTTTGTAACTGTTAGCAATAAGCAGAGAGCATATGGGGCCACACGTGGCTGCCTAGAGAAAGAGCGCCACCTCCAGTGTCTTTTTTCTGTGCTCCAGCTTTTTTTGTGCAGCCACTCTGAGCGCTTCAACTTGAAAATTCTTCAGAAAGGCACCGGTGACGTCACAGCCGCCCGCTCCTTTAGCTACCCGCTTTTTTGAACGTTTTTTTTCTTCTCTCCCGGATCTGAGCTCATACTCGCTTATACTTGGGGGGGATTTTAACTGCTGGTTAGATTCCGTACTGGACCATTCCTCTCCCAGTCCAGACTCAGTTAGTAGGTCTGCCTCACTCATTCAGTCCTTTCTATCTAATTTTGGTGTCTCTGATGTGTGGTGTTTCCTCCATCCAAATAAGAGAGAGTACTCCTTTTTCTCACACGTCCACCATACCTTCACTAGGATTGACTACTTTCTCATTGACAATGAAGTGATACCATTGGCGCGTTCCTGTGCTTATCAGGGCATAGTGATATCAGATCATGCCCCTGTTGTATTATCTCTGGCACTACCTGACCTTCCTCAAATAAAAAAAACACTGGCGCTTTAATTCAACTCTCCTGTCAGACAATGATTTTGTGAAATTTATGGAAGAACATGTATCCTTTTTCTTTCAGACAAATATCTCCCCAGATACACCTAGTCTAGTAGTTTGGGATGCTCTTAAGGCGTACCTCAGGGGGCAAATTATTTCCTACACTGTAAATATGAAAAAAAAAGGCCCACCGAGAAAGATTAGAATTGGCCAATCAAATTAAGGAAATAGACAAACAATATGCTCAAGTTAAAAACCCTGACTTATATAAAACACGAGTGGAGCTTCAAACCAAATTTGATTTGGCCTCAACTCATCCCATTGAACGCCAACTCTCGAGAAGTAAGAGTTTGTTCTATATCCATGGTGAAAAATCGGGGAAATTATTAGCTATCCAGCTGAGAGGACTTAAAGCAAAGGGGCATATTACGAATATTAAAATGGAGGATGGTAATGTTACTTCAGATCATGCAAAGATTAATGACACATTCAGGAAGTACTATTCTCAACTCTACACCTCTGAATTCTCGAATAATACTATATTAATGGATAATTTTTTGAACCGACTAAATATTCCCACGCTCTCCCCTGACAGTAAAATGAGATTAGATGAACCCACAACAAAAGAGGAGATAGATGCTGCTATTTCCTCGCTGCAGTCAGGAAAATCCCCGGGGCCCGACGGATTTCCCGTGGAATTCTTTAAGGCATTTTCCTCATTACTCTCACCGCAGCTAAGCACAGTGCTGTCTGACTCATTCAAGCAGGGCAAGCTTCCGACATCATTTTATGAAGCATGTATCACCCTTATTGCAAAAAACGACAAGGATCCAATGGAGTGTTCTTCATATAGGCCAATCTCTTTATTAAATGTTGATGTTAAAATTTTGGCTAAAGTTCTGGCCCGAAAATTGGAGAACATCTTACCGTCCATCATATCTGAAGACCAAACGGGCTTTGTCAAAAATCGATACTCCTATTTCAATATACGTCGGCTATTTGATATTTTGTATCTCCCCTCTGGTGTGGCTCCTGAATGTGTCCTTTCTCTAGACGCTGAGAAAGCGTTTGACCGGATTGAGTGGGCATATTTATTTGTGACTTTAAAAAAATTTGGCTTTGGTCCAAATTTTACCACCTGGATCAAATTATTATACTTAAGCCCCACTGCTTCGGTCCTTACCAATTCTCAGCTGTCACAACCCTTTAGCCTTCATCGGGGAACCCGACAAGGGTGTCCTCTAAGCCCCCTACTATTTGACCTGGTCATAGAACCTTTGGCGATAGCAATCCGCAATTGCGAGAGTATCTCTGGCATATGGAGGAATGGAGTGGAACATAAGGTGGCCCTATACGCAGACGACCTGTTGAGTTTTATTTCACATCCAGATACCTCCCTACCCGCCATGTTGTCTTTACTGAAGGATTTTAGCCAGTTCTCGGGATACAAATTAAATTTAAATAAATCTGAACTTTTTCTTGTCAGTGAGGGGACGTCGGCATCAGACTACTCCAACTTCCCTTTTAGGATTGTGGAAAACAAATTCACTTATCTTGGTATTACAGTCATGAAAAAGCACAAGTGTCTTTTCAAAGAAAACTTTCTCACTCTGCTAAACCACACAAAACGGTGCCTGATGCAGTGGTCTCTCCTTTCTTCATCCTTGGTTGGCCGAATTATTTCCATCAAAATGATTATTCTCCCTAAATTTCTATACATCTTTCAATCAATACCGACCTTCATTCCTAAATCATTCTTTGATACATTAGATTCTGTTATATCATCTTATATATGGAAGGGCAAGCGCCCTCAGCTAAATAAGGTCCATCTCCAAAAACCTAAAGGAGAAGGGGGTATGGCGCTGACTAATTTTCGTTTTTATTATTGGGCAGCTAACATTCGCTGTCTTACTTTTTGATCATATTTTCATAACCGATCTGACTGCCCTTCATGGGTGGCAATGGAGTTGGGTTCTGCTAAAAACTTTTCCATTCCAGCACTTCTTGGATCTCCACTTCCTCTCCCACCAAATAAACTCATAGACAATCCAGTTGTCTGGCACACATTGAGAGTGTGGGCTCAGCTCCGGAGACACTTTGGCTTCCTCGATTTTTGCCTCTCAAGTCCCATTTCCGCCAACCATCTTTTCCAACCCTCCTTACTGGACCCTACATTTCAGGAATGGCGGAGACTGGGTATTGAACGCTTCAGGGATCTCTTCACGGATAATAGTTTTGTATCGTTTGAGCAACTGGCTGAAGAGTTTACTCTCCCTAAGTCTCACTTTTTTAGGTATCTACAAATAAGACACTTTCTCTGCTGTCAGATACCAAACTTCCCTCAGACACCTGATATGAACATTGCTGATGCACTTCTCAATTTACAACCATCATGCAAGGGTTCGATCTCCATTATCTACAATAAACTGCTGGGCATAAGGCAGGCCCCACTCAACAACATTAAAATCGCATGGGAGCAAGATCTGAATCTAACCTTGTCTGAGGACATGTGGGACACCATTTTTAAGTTGGTTAACTCAACTTCTCTTTGTGCCCGTCACTGCTTGTTGCAGTTCAAAGTTGTACACAGGACCCACATATCCAAATCGAAATTCACTTATCCACATATTTTGGACATGTCCTAGCTTGGAGAAATACTGGAGGGAAGTCTTCCAAACCTTATCCTTAATTGTCGGCTTGGACATGGAACCCGACCCTCTGATTGCTCTTTTTGGCACCACAGGTGACACAGATGTGCGCCTGACCCCAGCCAAACGCTGAACTCTGTCTTTTTGCCTCTCTCTTGGCCAGACATGCAATATTGCTGAGGTGGAAAAATGCTGTCCCGCCCACCCACGCTCAGTGGTTGAGAGATGTTATGTCTTGTTTAAACCTTGAAAAAATACATTACTCAATTTGTAACTCCAAAGATAAGTTTCAAAAAGTGTGGGGACATTTTCTGGAATACTTTCATAACCTTCAAATTAGCTAGGGATTGGATCCTTTACTCACACTTTGTTCTCTGTTTTTACGTCAGCAATACCAAGTGTATAAATCAGTCCTCTCTCTGATGCCTCCCTTTGGCCCATGCGTGGGTTCATAATTTATATGTATTTCTTTTTTTATTTTTACTTTATTTATTTTTTACCTCTTAGATTGAAACCCAACTTCCAGCTGTTACCTTTATCACTCCAGGAATGAAGTACAATTGGTCTATTTGTCCTGTTTAGTCTCTTATGTAAAAGTCTGGCTTGGAAATCATGGGTGGGGATAAGTTCTTTTTGTTTTGTGTTGTGTTTTTATTTTCTCCCTACTGGGCATGGACAGGATTATCTCTCGACCTATGAGTTGATTGTATATTTTACAAACTTCCTGTCAACACTTAACAACTGTACCATATATTTGTGAAAAAGTTCAATAAAAATATCTTTGAGAAAAAAAAAAAAGCACTGAATGAAGTGCTCCCCAGCCCCCTGCCACAACTTTTCTGCTAAAGACAAATGCTTTGTGGACACAGACCCTTAGTCCAAATTAAAATAAGTCAACCCCCATTAGACAGCTTGCCATGTAAAGGTGCGGACACACCAAACCGACATCAAAGAACTAGCGGCAACGAAAGCCAACTGTTGCGTCTTCTACGTCGCCTCACGTCGCCCTGTGTCAGTTGCATTTGAACACACTACAAAGACTACATCCGACGGCCAAGTGGTACGTACGTTCTGCGCCTGCGTGAGAGGAAATAATGCAAAAAGGGAAACCGGAAGTCCGAGGAATGCATGAGATAAACAAAGTAGCGGAGTCCTGTCAGCCGAGGGGTTTCCTATCTGTGCAGCTGAGCACCGCAGCACCTCCACGGACTATTACATCCAGACGGTCCCGGTGTTTCCTCCTCAGGCTCCACTTCACTCAGCTGCCCGATAAACCCGCTGCTTCTTCCCACTTTAACCTGAATAACAAACCAGGGCTCGGTGCTCCGGTTGGATCCAAACGGAGAGCCGGGGCTAGTTGGGAAGCTAGCGGAGGCTAACTGGCTGTGCTTCCCTCCGGTCATGCTGCGGCTATTCAGGTTAAAGTGTGAAGAAGCAGCGGGTCTGTCGGGCAGCTGAGGGAAGTGGAGCCTGAGGAGGAAGCACCGGTTAGCCCCGGTTTCACTACAGGCAGATTCACTCGCTACAGGGGCGAGGAAATAAAACCTGAACAGCCAATCAGAGTGATCTCTCTCATCGACAAGCTCCGCTGCCGATTCAACATGCTCAGTCGGCCGAAAAGCCGCTGACGCCGATGCCGACGCTGAAGTGCCGACGGTGAAGGACACGCCACAAAAACTAGGCCGACAGACGCTCACCGATGGCCCGACTTTGGTCGATGGCCGACCGTCAGCTTGGTGTGTCAGGGCGTTAATACTGTTCAGACCTTCATGGTTCCCAGATGATATATCCTCATTACTATGGTGATCTTCCAGGGGTTTATCTCCAAGTCTGAAGAGTGACACTAATGTAGCCAAAGTGCCAAAGTACTTGGACAACTTTAAACTTTGACCTGATGGTGGCGCTAGATACAAAGTCAGAGGATCATCAAAGTTATTACAATTAATCCTGAGGAGAACATGAACGTCTGAAACACATTTCATGACAATCCATCCAATATTTGTTGAGATATTTCAGTCTGGACCAAAGTAGTCTTTTGTCCAACTACAGATTTTTTTCTTTACAATATTATCTGTATCTTTTAATCTAAACATGCATCATGTGTTCAGCCTCCTTTTCCTTTTATTTCCAGTCCTCTCACCTGGTGAAGTCGATGCGGATGTCGGCCTTCCCGCTGTGGATCTCAGTGAAGGTGAGCGGTGTGACGTCACTCCAGATTTTCAGCGCTTCCCGAAACACACGTCGCACCTTTTCCTCACTTATCTGCCAGGGAAACCGAACGATCCTGGGGGAGATCAATGCAGGTGTCAAACACACACACACACAGGATGTACAGTATGGCAGCAGAGGGGGACCACCAGCCTCGCAGGCCTCCCTCTAATCTGATACGTGCAGTCATCTCATCAGCGGGGTGGTGTGCTGTTACTGACGCCCTCAGGCCTGTGAACAAAACACTGCATCACTGTCTTGTCCCTTTCCTTTCAGATAAAAACCACCCAGCGTGATAACTGGAGAGAAACCTCCTCATCTTACCAACAGCACTCAAATTCTTCATAAATCATATAAAATATTAAGGACATTTGGCAGTTTGCACCTTAAATCTGAAAGTTACTATTGCAGAGGAATAAAAATAAATCCAGTTTGGAGTAAATAGAGAACAACCAACAAACTCAGTTGTGAATTAGATGGAATTAGACTTTGTATAATGAGAGTAATGACTCACAGAATGTTAACAGGTTGGAGAAGCAGAATTAGACAACTCTCATGTCTGTGCAGCAGTGGTTGAATGCAATTAAGGATTCTTTCAGACCTAGACTCGTCTCCTTTGGTCTGAATCAGGGACTAATTTTGTTCCAAAGTTGTATAATTGCCTAGAGTTTTTTCGTGTTCTCACGGCAGCATTTACAAGCGGACCAGATCAAATGCCTTGTGTGAGAAAGCTGCTCGATTGGTCAGAATTTCCATGTGGGAAAAATCCAGGAAGTAAAGCAAACGTTGAAGAAGAGTACACTTGCAAGATAAATGTGACACTTTCTAATGTCACAATGGAGGGACAACTACGCAGGTTGATTTTAGCGCTGCTCATCGTGGACTATATTGCTGTCATTGTTCATTTTAGTCAAACCATACAGTTTGAAAACGAGGCGCGGCTCCAACTAGAAAACAATGTTTTGATGCATTGGATGTGCTGAATGTGCATATTAAGGCAGTACAGGAGGAGGTGCACATTAATAATCCTCCAGGATTGTAACATGCTCATGTTTAACCCAAACAATGTGTCATGTGACTGCAGTTGCTTCACATCCAGGTCGGAACACCTTCTCACCACAAAACAACCGCACCAGAGGGTCTCAGTCTGGTTGTTTTGGTGCACACCTGAGTGTGATTGCTGTGTTCACACCTGCCCAAACGAACTGCACTGAGGGGGCAAACAATCTTGAGTTTGATTGAACCATTGATTGAATTTCAACAGCACTGTAGTTAATATGTGGTTAGATTTAGGCACAAAAACACTTGGTTATGGTTATGAAAAGATCATATTTTGGCTTAAAACACCCGTGTTTGGTGGCACAATCCCCACTGAAAATGCAGCGATGTCTCAGTAAAAAAAAAAGGTGCTTTTCGTGCCACTTTCCCTGCTGGAAAAACCCCCACGTTTCTTGCAAAAACCAAAGTGTAAAAACAACAATTTGCTATTTTACAGTAGGTTGTTTGATGCTGGGGAGTTCCTGGTCCCTGTCAAGAAATAGTCTTGCATGTTGTTCCACACTCTGGTTTTTGTACAAATTAATTAAACAAGATACAGCCTGCTAATTCGTGAGCTTTAGAGGTGACGGTAGTTGGATTCTGTAATCATCGGACAAGGCCGCACTGGCTGTTTCCACTCTTTGTGCTAAGCTAAGCTAGCCAGTGAATATCTACATATCCCAAATTGTTGAGCTATTCTTTCGAACCAATAAAAAGTGTCACGTGTTAACATCAATTTGAGCCAAAGATTTAAAGGCACAGTTAAACATTCTGGCAACATGCTGGTATGTTTTATGTGAGAGTGAGATGAGGAGATTGAAACCTCTCTGATGTGGGTGAAGCTGTCAGGACGCGTTCAGCCTGTACTCTTTGCTTCTAGCTACAGTCTGGGATGCCAATTGCCACAGGTAAGCACAGGTTTTAGTTTCGGTACAGTGTTACCAAACCTGGCAACCTGACTGCTCGGAGAAAAACAGTTTCAGCATGTGCTCGTATACAAATTCAACAAACAAGACACAACATGTTAATTAGTGGGAGGATGAGATTGGTATGTTTCTCTCACTGCCAGAAAGACAACAAAGTGCGTTCACCAAAATGTCAGAATATTCCTTTAAACTCCAGCTGCTAATTCTGGATCTCCCTGGGGTCAACATCTGCAGCTTTAATTGGTGTAGAGGTATAAAGGAAAAGGTATTATGTGTGGTATTTGTAGCATCAGTCACATAAAGCTGAGGTCTATAATTAGAGTAACTGTGGACAAACACTGTCAGCGTCTAGTGTCCTCTCTGCTGAGAAGAATCTGCTGCGTCATTTTATGGCACCGGTCCAGAGTATGTAAGCTTACCTGCAAGAATTTATACTGCCTGTCATGGTTACGGCTCGGTCAAGAGGGACAGGAAGCAGCAGGGTTTATGGGAAATGTGGTTTTAATTTAGAGGTGCACTGACAATAAAAAATAAAAATAAAAATAAAAAATACCCCTGGTATTCATCTCAACCACTGTCTCTGAAGTATAGACTGCAGGAGGAGCTGAACCATGAAGCCTCTGAATATTTATATATATATATTTATATATTTTGTCATTTAATATGGCGGATGGAAGCTGCCAAAATAATAAAAAAAAAAAATACAAAGGTAAACTAATGAATAAATAAATACATTTAAAAAGTTAAATGAAAAATAAATATTACATCGAAAAAATAAATAGTTCAACAAAAAATAAATAAAAAGGAAAACTACATAGAAAAGTATATAAATAGGAAAATTAATATAGACCTGTATAAAGGAATGTATTACAACAATAATACGGAAATAAATAAGTTTGGGGAGGGAAATGAATGAATGAATAAATAAATCTAAAGATGAATAAATACACTTCAAATAAATTTAAATTAAAAAGAAATGCAAAAATAAATAATACAATTTAAAAATGACTAAAAATAAATAATAGTAAATAAATAAATAGGGAAATAAATGAAAAAAGAGAAAATTGTAAATAAATAAATCTAAAAATGAAAAAAAGGCTTAAAATAAATCTAAAATAAATTAAAAAAAGAATCCTGAAATGAATGATGAAATTTTAAAAAATTAAGAAAAACTAATAAATAAAAGGGAAAACTAAGTTGGAAAGTTAATAAAAGGGGAATTAATACAAAGGTAAATAAAAGAAGAAAATAAAAACAGGAATATCAATTTGTCAAATCTTATCTATTACTTAATGCCTTCTTTTATTTTTAATATTATTTTTGGTACATTTAATGGCGTAATAATTCATTTATCGTGTCCTTAATTTTTTCATTTTTGATTTTTGGCAACTTCCATCCTCAGTACTCAAAAACCTGAATGAAAATAACTTGTTCATTGTTCATAAATTGCTTGTTCATTTATTTAAGACTCCAGCGAAGGTGCAAATATTTGTCCACATGGGGCTTTCCGCGGCGCAAAGTTCACACAGGAAGTCTTTGAGCTTATCACTTTCTCAGCACAACACCCTGCTCATTAGAGGTGGAAATGTTCCAAATATGACTCATCAGACCTACATCACTGACCTGTACATATGTAATTAGACCAGGGTTTTATCAAAAGATAACGGAGACATGACTTCCGGTTTGACGAGCGATGGAGTAGGCAGCAGGTCGGAAGAGCTCTGTCACCACTCAACATTTATTTGATATCTGCTGCATTATTTGCCTTCTTAGAGCGTGGTGAACCCGTTTCTAAAGCAGACTTCTGAGTTTGTGTCCAGGATATTCAGTTAAACATGGACAAGACGACCACAACTAAAGGTAAAAAAGCCGAAAACGGGAACGAGAGCAAACAAGACGGCGACTTAGCTTCTGAGCTGCTAGCTAGCAATGACCCCACGCATGGCGACAATGACAACTCGCCGGCAGCGTCTCTGACTGATATCCAGAAACTGCTCACTGGCATGGAAGAGCGGATTATTACAAGCCTGGCTGCACAAATTTCAGCCAACCATGCCGCCATCGCCAAACAACACCAGACAATCCAGGCCATTGAAACTTCAATGAACGATTTCCACGGGAGGCTAACACTGGAATCGGCAGTCGGAAAACTTCCAAAGGAAAAGGAGCAGCTGCAACTAAAATCGGATGACCTCAAGAACAGATCCAGGAGGTACAATGTTCGCATAACAGGCATACCAGAAGGAGCGGAAGCCAACCAACCGACCTCTTTCACTGAATCCTGCCTGGGAGAGATCCTCGGTCCCGACGCCTTCTCCCACCCTCTGACCGTGGATAGAGCACACAGGCTGGCCACCCAGAGAAGACAAGACGGCGTGCCCCGACCCTTCATAGCATGCATCCACCGCTTCCAGGTGAAGCAACGAATCATGCAGCTGGCACGAGAGAAAGGCCCCCTGTCCTACAGAAGCTCAGAGATTCACATTTACCCCGACTACAGCGCTGAAGTGGCTAGGAAGAGAGCCGCCTTTGCTCCGGTCAAGACCCGGCTGAGAGCGGCGGGATACCAGTTCAGCCTACGCTTCCCCGCTAAGCATCGTGTGGTTGCCGATGGATCCAGGCACGAGTTCTGCACCCCGGCTGAAGTCGCTGCTTTTCTGGAGGACAGACTACCCGCTGAATGAGACTCCTGACCAACCGTAACGCTATCATTGAAGAAAACAACCGGGGACATTGCACTCTTCTAGCTCAGCTTTGTTGGACGGACTGGTGAGTGAATAAAATTGCCGATTTGACTAAGATGTTAAGCAACGGAGGACTGAATGATATATCCTACTATGCTATTAACCTGAATATTATTAAGAGAATACACGGCGGCCTTTATTTCTGTTTACCGCGCCATTAATGGACATTATCTGACCAGTAAAGACACACATGTGCCTCGGATACTATAAATATATGTGGGGTTTAAAATACTTGTTTGTAATTGTTATCTGTGTTAGATATAGTCAGAGGTCTGTTTCTGCTATACGCTACCGCTGACATGTCGTGGCCATGACCCGGGCGCTTTTTTTTTCTCTCTTATCCTCCCCCCTCTTCTCTGGTATCATAA